AGTGCTGGAATTCTTTGCATAGAATTCTTTGGGCAATTTCAAGTATAATTTGAGCATTTTAAATAATACAGGTTCAAATACAGATCAGAATTATACAGATTAAAAATAATTAATTCAAGTTCAAGTTGAATATAAGTGGTCCATATACAAGATAGCCCCCCCCCGGGAAGATGTTTGGATAGCAAAGTTTTCACAGCACATGTCTAGGTGAAGATTTCTCATACTAAAAGGAAAAAATAGGCCAGTCAGAATATTTTTAAAAATTTTAAAAATCATTTTCAGATCAAAGACCCCTAAATAAAATGCAAACTAATGCAAAATATTAAGAGAAATTATAAAAAGGACATAACCTTGCAATTGAAATGCCATCCTTTCTGTGTATGTGCAACATGCATGCACATAAAAAGGGCAAGGCTTCAGACACACCACTGTAATCTCCATTTTTACTTTTTGTCCTCTCCTGATAATGTCCCTGCTTTTAATTTTGTCTAAAATTAAAACATTTGATTTTATTAAAGATGGCAATCTGAGGCCCTAGGGAGTAATCTGAAGTGGCTGAATGAACTAATTTAAAACTCTCATGAAATCTTCTAGAAAGCAACGACCAGCCAATCTTCCGGTAGTAGGTAGCATTGCTGTATCTCACTATAATATATAAAGACAGCTGCTATTTCTTGGTGTATCCTCATTCAAAGGGGGAATTGATTTGTGTATCTGAATCAAGATTTTCAACATTTCATTCTGATCACTTGATTTTTTTCCTGAATCAATTCAAATGCAAGAACTTATGCTCCCCCGAGTACTGTAAAAACTAATAGTGATTACATAGTTAGGAATCTTAATATTTAGGTGAATCCAATAGGAAAAAATGACAGTGCTTTAAAAGCATTTTGCAATTTAAAAAATAGTTGCTGTGACTGTACTTTTCTCAGATATAATGTCAATATGTGGCTCTCTAGCACCTCAGGACAATTTGCTCTTTTCATTATTCCCCAAACACTCTTTAACATAAAATCATTCTTTCTAAGTGCCACTCCTTGTCTTAATAATGGCTTCCCTTCCAAGATAAGAAACCTGCTTGATTTTAAAATGAGAGACCATCAATACTTTTATTCCAAGGTTGGGAAAGATTTACAGTGTGCAGCCTTGTGGAAAAAGGGCCTATGTCAATTAAACAATGTAACTTCATTTATTATGTCTCAGTCATATATAACTTGTTTTATAGTGTTGTACCTCTTTATCATAAAGGAAAAATAAAATCTCATATTTCAACATTTGAGAAATACATTGGATACTAATCAGGAAAATAGATCTTATCAGAACTGATGATTGATTACAAAGCTAGAGATACAGCTTTACAAGGAATATGTTTATGTTGAAACATCATAGTAAATTACAAGCACAGCTTAAAAGCCAATGGTTGGATTTACAGTATTGAATATACTAAGCCAAAACTAAACAAACCACATTTTGTATTTTGTACAAACCAAGTGATCCCGATTCATTTACTGAAATAACATAATTAACCTTCATTTTGCCCCTAAACTGTAAGACAGAGGCTGCAAAAGTTGTAATGGCTAGTTTTGATCTTGGTTTCATAAGCTGTAAGAAGACCTTAACCAGGAATCCTGTACCTGAATTAAAGATTTTTTAAATAATTCAAGAATATCAGGAATTAACTTTAGTTGGCAAGTAAGGTTCATCACTATACTATGGTTGGCAGTTCTTACAATTCTCCTATGCAGTGGAATCTTTAGCTAATCACTACAATCAGCTACAAGCTCAGTGTCAATTCATCCAGTTATAAATTACTGAATAACAAGTGTGATAGCTTAGTGATAAAACACATGCCTTGCACCCAGAGACATAAGTCCCTGACTCTTCCCATATAGAGATGGGAAAAGTTCAAAGAGCTGTCATTAGTCAGTATTGACCACTGTCTTGGACATTCTGGCCCAGTAAGTTATATATGCTTTGTTGAAGTACCTGTGCCATGTAATTTAATACAAGGAAGGTAAATGTGTTCAAAGCACACAGCTTCATTATCTTTATCTTACGTAATCACAGAAATAATTATTCTACACACACACATACACTCGTTGATCACTTAATATGAAAAAAGTATATTAGATGATATTAATCTATTTTCTTTCAAAAAGAAAGACAGTTTCTAGCCACTCTAGGTTTAGCATTTTGGTATAAAATACAAATTTGGGAGGAAAAAAGACACAGTTGTCATACATACTGTGTTGTACAATATTGCCATACATCAACCATGCATATCCTGAAATCACCAGCATTAGTAGCATTAGAGCAGGCTGGTATAGAAAGTGCATAGTGATAAAGAGACTCAGGTAAATAAAACAAACAAATCACATAAGTGTATACTCCACCTGCTAATAGATTACAAAAGGCTTCATTGCTTATGAGCCTCAAATTTTCTGCAAGCAAGCAGAACTGAACATTTAAGCTATTAATCAGTACTGAAATTCCATTTTTCCAAAGATGATTTTCTATATCCAGCTATACTCCCAGATAATACCCCATTCATGTGATGATCTCAGCAGACAATCAAGCTGGAACACATTAATACTTAAATTCTTTATCTAACTGACCTATATCAGAATCTAAATTTTGATACTGGCAATTATATGTTTATTTCAATCTATAAAGACTTTATAGATTGACCACTAGCATAATATCTGTTTTGCTATTCAGGATTTTTGCTGATTTTTTCTGACTCTGGTAAATAACTATTGGCAAACCATGACTCATCAAGCCTGAAATTATCAATGGCTATTTTATTTTTTAAATTTATATGCCTCCCATCTTACTATCCAAAGTGATAGTATGCCTTTTCTGGGCTACCTAACATTGCACCCTCTGTTTATTGTCTTTTACATTGTTCACAGTGTTGCTTTGCTGTAATGCAGCCATGTCAAACTCACAATGTCACGTGACGTTGCGTGACATATCGGGACTTTTTCCCCATTGCCGGCAATGGAGTGGGTGCAGTTTTGGCATGATGCATCTGACCTGAGGGCCAGCAGTTTGACATGCCTGCTGTAATGTATCTCCCACAGCAGTCTTGCTGATCATATGAGTTTACATCATTCTACTTAGGTGACTCAATGTATTTTTTTTCTTCACTGTGAATACAATTATTCTTTTTTGTTCCTTTCAGTTCTTGCTTTCCTCCCATATCATATTATTAATACTGGTCAGTCAAGAGCTTTTGTGACTTTTCTGTGAAGAACACACAGTCAAAGTAGGTGGCACTACGAACATAGCTAAACCCTAGCTATCAGTGGTTGTGGTGCCTGCTATCCCTGCAGATCCATTATCCAAGCAAATAGTTTCCTCTCTTCAAGCCTTAGGTAATAGTAATTCTGAGACTGGGGGGGAGGGAGAACCTCAGTTTTACTAACTCATCCCTTTTGTAGCAGCTAATAGCACATTTCTCTTTCTGCTATGACAGTCCATGCAGAAAATGAGTTCCTTGTGAATAGTAAGAACCAAGAACTAATACAAACTACACTACGTGAACATGTGACCCAAATATAGTCAGGATACATAAGAATCAAGTGGACAAAACCAAACAATGATGATTGGCTTTCTGGCTTGTGGTGAAGATGGGAAATAGGAGACACCAAAGGGTATATAAAATCATGCGTGGTATGGAAAATTGGACAGGGACATTTTTTCTCCCTTTCTGGGTCATCCACTAGAACTCAGTACAGAAAGATTTAGTGTCTATGCAAGAAAGCACAAATGTGTAGTTCATGTCACTGTGGTGATGGTGACCTGCTGAAATATTTCTAAATGGGAGACTAATCAGAACTACAGATTGGATAATAAATGGTTACTTGATTTGATTCCTCTGGAATCACAAGCAGCTCTCAGAAAGCAAATTATCTGCTCTAAGAGTTATTGCCTTCCCAAATATCCTACTGAGCTTCTTGAATACATTTGGTTTGCCTCCGTGGGTAATGGGCAGAAGGAACAACTCTGAGGGACAGGAAGAAGAGACTCCCTCTCTTTATCTTCATGAGTGCTAGGGAAGGTCTTGTCTGAGATGCTTACTTGGATTACAGTTTTGCCCCAATCTAACTGTTGTCTTGATAATAGCTCTTCCTCCTGCTCTTCAGTTCGTTATTCCTTTTGCATATTATATTGTATGAAAAAACCTGAACTAGATGGCCTGATTTAGCAAAGGCAGGACAAGAAGCAACGGGTGGAAACTAATCAAGGAGAGAAGCAACCTAGAACTAAGGAGAAACTTCCTGACAGTGAGAACAATTAATCAGTGGAACAGCTTGCCTCCAGAAGCAGTAAATGCTCCAACACTGGAAGTTTTTAAGAAGAGACTGGACAGCCACTTGTCCGAAATGGTGTAGGGTTTCCTGCCCGAGCAGGGGGTTGGACTAGATGACCTCCAAGGTCTCTTCCAACTTTACTAATATGAATATGAATAATTATTTCTGAACAAATATCCTTGTCTATTAATATTAGATGAGTTGTGCTGGGTTAAACCACAGTTTTTTCTGCTGCAGCCTTGTGTTCCAATATTAGCCAAGCAGGTGTTTCCGAGAGGCCTACATTCAAGAGAAGAGCATTCTCCTGCCTGTGTTTTCCAACAAGTATAATAGCAAGGAATGAAATCTCTGATATTGAAAGTAGTACAGTGATACTCTGAATATTAATCCACGATAGCCCTGTCTTATATATTCCCTCTAATGACTCCTGTATTAGTTTGATATCATCAAAATCTTCTGGATTTTTAGGGTTGAGATAGTTCACACACCATGCTAAGCCATAGGTTTTTTAAAAATCATGCTGGTTTGGTACAAACTGCAGTATTTTGTATAATATATAATATTAGGTTATAAACTATGATGTATAAGTCACAGTGGTCAGATTTATAGATCACACAAAACCAAAAAGATTTTTTAAAAAATGTAATGCTTCAACAATGACAACCTCTTTTTTTTTAAATGCAGTTTTTTCATGTCAGCACAGTTTGTTCCTGGAATGGAGCTGAGTGATAGATGTGTCACAGCCTTTGAACAATGAACATTCCATTCTACTTACCTTCTGTCATCTTTTATTTGAGTCTGTTCCTTTCCCATGTCAGAAAAATACACCGTACTGTCATTTGGCGTTCAGAGATGCTGCAAGCACATCTAGAAATGTCTTCATTAACCTGCACCAAATTAAAGGTAATGGGGGAGAGTGAGTAGAAAGTGGGGAGAGAACTTCTTTTTACTGTATATGTGTGCATTAGAGAAAATACTGTATGTATGTGCATTATTTTGCAGAAGCCTGATCAAATATTCACATTTCAGACAGGATCACAAAAACACAATTACTCTCAATTTGTAATTTGGTATCCTTTGAAATATAAAAACACTATCTTGACAATCCCACTCTTGATTTAATTTGATATCCAAGATGGTTAGGATAAAATAATATGAAGATTAGGATGAGGATGTCATCTAGATTCTGAACTTGAAAAAATATGCAACTACAGCAGGAACTATTATACAAATGCCTCCCTTAGATGATTTTTTTCTCCAAAGTTTACCTATTTTTTCCATCAAGCAAAATAGGATTTAAAAAATCAGTTTAAAAATTCCATGGTTTAAATTTCTAAAGGCAACTTTTAAACCTGGTTTCAGTGACCATGACTTGATTTACTAAATGCAATCTTTCTGTCTACATTTATTGCCTGTAATTCCTTCCACACAATATGAAAAGTTAAACAGCTTCAATTAAAGTTACAGTCAAATCAGTAAACTATAGTTTAAACATTGAAAGGAACTGGAAGTTGAATTAAAATCCTGGCTTGTTCTGAACCTCAAAATCATAATAACCTGATGCAATTGCATTAGAAATCATAGTTAATTGAAAATATAAGGCAGGGTTTCTCAAGTTTTTTTTTGTTCATGACCCCTTCTGAGCATCATTTACCTCTGTGACCTCTTCTTTATATTAATTGTTACAGACTGCCTTTTTTATTAAGATATTTATTGCAGACTGTAGTAATTCTCAATATTTATGTTGCCAAAATTAACAGAAAATGAGATGTGAAGATTATGACATTTGGCCATAAAGTTTGGGTGACCTCTAGAAATATAATGTGGCCCCTAAGGAGGCATATGGTCCATACTGAGAACCACTTTAGTATAAGGGGCTCAGTGCAGAAGAAAAATGTTTGTAAACACAGCATTCTGGCTTCTAAAATGAGATAATATTATCTGAACTGGGACAACTTCTCTCAACCAAAAGAAATGTACAATGCAAATTCATCTATTATAATATGTAGAATAAGTCTTTTGGTGATAAATATCCTGCTAAATTGAGCTCTCCGTCCACCATATTTGGCCCACTAGGAATAATTTCTTTATATTATCTGAAATGCTCATAATTCCTGGAAGTTGATTCTATTATTACTCCATTAGCTAGCATAGGAACCATTGCATCACCATTCTTTCCATCTAGACTGAAAGAGATGTAGGTCATACTGGAAAAGCCCAAGTTGTGGGTCCCATTCAAAAAAAATTATCTAATTTTTCAATTGTCTCCACCCACCTCACTGCATTTAACAGAAAAATATTATTGTAGTAACTGTTAGTGATCTTCAGCTGCCATCATTTATATATTGTTATTCTTGTTGCTAACGGTGGTTTTTATCTGAGTTCCAATTTTATGTTAGCCGTCCAGAATTGCTGTTGAGAAATGGGCAATCCTATAAATTCATGGAAATAAATGATAGATAAAAAATAAATAAGAGCAGGAGGAAGAGAGCGTAAGGTTTATTTTCTTATGAGGTTGCAACTATTTCATGCAGTATCAATCACACTAAAGCCTACCTTGGCATTATAAGAGACATGGTGGTGCAGTGCTTAAAATGCAGTACTGCAGGCCACTTCTGCTGATTGCAGTTCGGCAATTCAGTTCTCACTGGCTCAAGGTTGACTCAGCCTTCCATCCTTCCGAGGTTGTTGAAAGGAAGACCAGATTGTTGGGGGCAATATGCTGACTCTGTAAACCACATAGAGAAGGCTGTAAAGGACTGTGAAGTGGTATATTAGTCTAAGTGCTATTGCTATTGCTATAAGCTGCTCAGAAGCGGCAACTAGGCCAATCACTCCTCAGCCCCCATTTTCCTTTTTTGTATACCAAACAGTATTTGCCTACCAGTGAATTTTGCACACTAATAGTTATGTCTGCAGCAGGCAAAAACTTTTCAGATATGACACTAGTGGCAGGCAAAAAAAGTGTAACACTCTCCTGTTTTGCCAATTTTTATTTCTGTTGATATTTAATAAATATACATCAAGCTACATTGTCTTCCAGATGAACCGAGCAGTTTGTGTGCTTGTTCTGATCTAGAAGGAATGACTGAAAATGTGCTAAGTGCAAACTAAATTGGAAATTACCCACAGTAATTTTCCAACACATTATTAAAAGTGCTTTCTTATTTCAAGAAAAATAAGCTGAGTCAATACATGAAAATGCTACAATGTTCAATTATCTTTGGTCTTGATAGTGCAGATCTTGATAGCAGGGTCTGATCAAAATTGTACAGCTACAAAAACTGATGATTTTATCATCAGTAAAATTGCTACAGTCATACTATCATCATCAGTCAGGGGATCATTGATGCTATTTTCTAACATGCCGATGCTAAACAGTCATTCTGCTTTTCCAAACTCTCAGATCTGGGATTTTTAAAAAAAAAAAAATCAGGGACTAAAAAGCACTCTCAGATGCTATTAAGAGGTGGTTAATAGGAGCAACATACAGCTTGAAGCCTTGCTTTCATTTCAGACAGATTTTTCATCTCTGGAAGCTTGCCATCTTCAACAATAGTCTCATATATTTTATGGGAAAAGAACAACAAGAACAGGGACAGCCGGTTTTAATCAGTCAATCAGTAGAGTTGCAAAGTGATCAAAACAAGGAAATAGTGTTTGGTGTATACAAAAACCTTTCCTAGACTATCAAAAGAAGGGTTATAAAGAGTTTGTGGACTTCAGTTCCCAGAATTATCCAGCCAGGACTCTGGGAGTTGAAGTCTACACATCTTAAAGTTGGCAGTTTCATCACCCTAGCCAATGAATACCTGCCTCTCTTAACTGCAGTGGGCACTGGCTGCCATGTGTGGTGTAAAGCTCCCACCTACCCAGGAGCATCTAAATGCTATTTGCAAGCAAAGGGGAAAGAAATTTGGACATACATACAAATGAGGGAAAAGGAAAGCCAAAATTTAAGAATTTTAGGCAAAGAGCAAACAGAAGAAAAACAGGCACAAATGAGATAAGGAGGCTGAATCTGGGAATCAGAAAAATGCAGCAAAATCATGAGGAAGAAACAAGGAACCCAGAAATGCTAATTTGTTGAGCCATTTCCTTGTATATGAAGGCACAGTATATTTCCTGATATTTATGGCAAATTCTCAACATTGCCTTTAAAAAAAAATAAAGAATAAGTCTTCGTCTTCCAATTTGCCCAAAGCAAAAAGTGCTGTTCTCTAACTTCATGCTTATAGTTTCTCTATCTGGTTGAGTTCTCTAATACTGTACAGAACCTAAGAAATTGAACTAGCCACTACTTTAGTTTGTTCTGAATCCCACTCCTCTGCTCCTACCAATGCTCTCAAGAAAGCTTGGTTGTTGTTTTTTCCCTTCTCATCTCAACTATATCCAGGGCCTCACTTTGTCCTTAACAGATTTGACACAAGGTAGCAATAGCGATCGGCAATTCTTGATGCACTTAGTAAACATTAATAGCTTCTGATTATGGAAAATCTGATCTCAAGGATTTCCATCTTGCTGGTTAGTAACATATAACACCAATGGGCAAGCCAGATATTTTTCAGAAAAGCACACAACAATCTCACCCTGAATGTGGATAAAAGACATTAGTCTTTCTTGGCTGAGCTCAGCAGAATGCTAACAGTCACAAAAAAAGTTTTCCTATTTGAAAAATATAAATTGAAGTTCTTGAGGTAGTACTTCTAATCCCTCTGAGATGAGAGCCAGCCAGAAAAGCCTCAAGCATATAATTCAAATATAATGTCATCCAATACTTTGAGACCAAAACTTCAATTATTCCTAGCCAGGAAGGTCATTAGCACAATGACAGTTGGAATCCCAGCACATCAAATTGAAAATGATGCTCTGCTACTGGCATGGGGAACATTTTGTCTTTAAACTTTCTGTAACTGATGTACCTGGGGTTTGAACTCCAGAAGCAGGCAGGACCAGAATAAAAACATATGTTGATTTAATTTTACTATAAACATTTTGAAAATTAAATTAAATGCAGTTTAAAAAGATTGCACCTATAATTTTAATTTACATTATCCCCTTTAAACGAATTAGAAATAAAAACCTGGAGACAAAATATAGATAAACTCCAGTTCAGAGGTGTCAAACTATCGGCCCAGTTGCATCATGCAGAGGCCGCATCTATCCCAGCTCTGTCAATGCGAAAAAAATTGCAATACATCACGACACATTACGTGACATGGCGAGTTTGACACTTGTGCTCCAGTTAGAGAGAAGCTAATCACTAAGCATTTCTGTTCTGGTGATTAAGAAACAGCTTTTAAAGGAAGACATCAACCGAGGAAGAAAGCAAACTGTAAAATGAAGGACCTAGAGAAATTTTCTAGGATGTGGACTAAAGAAAAAGAAGGAAAGCTAAATACCAAGACACAAGGAATTTTGTTTTTGTTGGAGCACTGCAATCTCCTGTCACACAGTCTTCCAGCTGCTTTCCATTCAAGCAACCCTCAAAGTGATTGCTTTGAATTTGGGATCTTTTCTCTTCTTTCAGTCTGAATTAAAGTCTGGAAGAATATTCTGCTAAAGAAAATAAGTTCCAGGCTAACTAGTAAAGTAATATGTGTGCCATTTTGATACATAAATAGTAGCTATAGAAAAAGAACTTGTCTGAAGATCACAGTGTATCTAAAGAATTTCTCTTTTTTAAAAAAAATAATCAAGGAAAAGTTTGCCAAAATATATACAGTAGAGCAACAATTCCAAGCAAGTAGAAACATCACACATGCACTGAAGAGCAATGCTTACAGTCCTAGGATTTTCACCTCAAATCAACACGAAGTTCTTACCTGAGGCATAAATGATGAGGCTCATGTTATTCAAAAGCCCAGCTCTTTTGAGAAGTTCATAATGCTGGGAAAATGGAAGGGAAGAGAGAAAAAGGATGACCAGTAGCAAGGTGGATTAAGAAAATTACAACATCAATCAATCAATCAATCAGTCAGTCAGTCAATCAGAATAGAGTTTTCCATGCTTCTTGAATTGTTTTCCCCTGTAGGATTTTTATCCATGGAATTTTTCTTAGGCTCTCTCTGAGTTTGTTAAAATCAGTTCTTTTAAAGTTTAAGATACTGGTTGGATTATATTCGCCCAAGGTTCCAGCAACTTCAACTCTCTCTATCACTTCTTCTCTATTAGTAAGAATTAGGGCCAGTATAGCTTTTCCTTTAGTTCCCTCTTCTACCTTTTGGATGACAAAGTTCTCAGTTAAATTGGTTAGGAATCTGTTCGATCTCCCACTTGTGGCAGAGTTTGTCTCCCTGTTGATATCAGGGTAATTAAAGTCTCCCATTACTACTGTGGTATGTTTCCTACATGCAATTGTTAATTGATGAGCAATCAGTATACCATCCATTGAGAGACCTAAAAAGCCTGGTTGAAAATATACCATTCTGGAGAAGGTCTGTCTGTGTGGTTGCTAAGAGGAGACACCATTTCCAGCCCAATTTTCAGCACTGGCTATTGCTGTCCCAGGATAAATATGCAGTTAAATAAGTTCTATCCTTTATGGAAATGGGAGTTCAGGTAACATTTCTACAATACTGATCTAAAGTCTCTTTTACAATATTAGCATAAGCATTTTTGTGTTTAAGTTGCAAAAGACTATTCTTAGAATGTCTTTATTAATAGTTAACTAAATGCTCCACAAAATACACAAAGAACTGTTTCTGGCCTGTTTCCTGGATGAAGTTTCCTTTTTAACTCAGCTACTGCTTTCCACAATAACCACATGATCATCTCTCTCTTTCTCTCTCTCTGCCTCATTTCCACATTTCAGAAGATAATCCCTGACATGTTGGAAACAATGACAATTCTAGCCACTGTTTCCATCTATAGATTTCAGGTCTATGTGAATGTCTGCACAAATATAATCAGTAACTCCAAATGTCCAATTTCTATATGTCATTTTTTGCAAAGTGAAGCAAACTTACAACATTCCCTTAACTAGACTGAAAACAAAGTGAGAAGGAATGAAGACTTGTCATTCATTCCTTTTGAATAAAATTCAAATTTTTAAAATCCTAGACAGATCAATAAATAGATCAATTTCCTTATTTTACGTATTATCTGTATGGTTTATTATTGCCTATTGAGCTTATCCATTTGTTTATTCCTTTGAAATGTTTATATGTTGCCCAATAATAAAGATAATAACCTTGCTATAACATATAATATTGCCAGGTTCTGTACAGCAGCACTTAAAATCCATCAGATGATGTGACTTGTGCCATAAATGAGTCTTAATGAGCATCTCGTTTGTTATTCTAGATTGCTTTCTATTGCAACAGATTTAGCTTGCTATATATTAACCTTTATGCTCCCCTACTCCCATCTGATGTGCTTACCCTTCCTTTCAGACTTTTGTTTTTTTATATATCATTTTTAAATATATTTTAGCTTTTTATTATTTTTTATCCTCTGAGGTATTTTCTATGCTTTTTAATTCACTGTAATGCATCCTACTTATGCTAGTTTTTGACTATAAATAAAGATTTGATTTGATTTGTTTCCCAGCTTCAGCAACTTTAGAACTATGGACTTCAACACCCAGAATTCCCTAACCAGCATACTGGCTGGGGAATTCTAGGAGTTGAAGTCCACACATCTCAAAATTGCCAAGATTAAGACTGCTTTAAACTGTTAAAATGTGCTCCAAAGCAAGACCATCTACTGTATAACTCTTACAGCAACTCTGAATTGAACAGCACTTTCCCAATTATGGAATTGATATTTTGGGTAGGAAATCAAGAATCTTTCAGGGTTCCCAGTTAGTCTGTGTGCCACAGAGAAGCTAGTCTTGGGAAAAGCCTTAATTTGGAGCCAACTGAACTTTTTATCTAGCTTAATTGCAACATAATTTCAACATATGCAACACTTTGACAACTAGAAAGAGAAATCTTATTTACTCAGAACCAAGATTCTATAAGTGCAGAAATGATGGGGCAAGGTGGAGCATTCATGCACAAATCGTATAATTATGAACCAGAAGCACATTTTGTGTATGGGGTAAATAAGCCAACATAATTCTGATCCCATTCATGTGATAATCAGATATGGGAGAAAGAAGAAAAACGGGGAACTCCAAATGAAGATGTCTCCTGCACTGATAGTAAGCCATCACATTGATCAAATTTTTGAAAGTACTTCTTTCCTCATTATATGACACACAATCAATTTAAGAGTATGGAAATTTGCATGCTATAAGCTATTTGGAGAGATGATAATACAAAGTTCAAGGCTGATTTAAAGACATTTAAGAATTTTCAAGATTGAAGCATCTTGACCAACTTAATCTCTGATTTCTTGTTCACAAAGCTGGAGCAGGAGACATTTTACTTACTTTATCCAATACAGACCTCTGACAATGAGCTCTTGGCATTGCAGAAATGAATGAGATACCCTCAAGGTTTGGTGAGTTGCTGTGAAGACATCCTAAAGCATATAATATATAATGTGTGTTCACACAGTATGCAATTAGAGACCACAACAAAGAATGCACACAATTTTCTATTCACAAGGTATTTTTATAGATCCTTTTTTCTAATACACTGAGATTTTGTCTTTTTTTACCAATTACAAATTGTATTAAAAGTTTTGAAAACTGTAATTTCAATAGTTTTGTGTATTGAAGCTCAAATAGTACAAGTATCAGTATCAGACTGTACAAAGTTTTCTACACTTAACCCATTTATCATTTATAATTAAAAGCTTTTCCCCATGTCTATCTTAAATATTTAATAGGTATTTTCCAAATCACAACAGGAAAGTACAGCAGAAGATGGAACTAAAAATTGTTATGGAAATGAAAAGGCATTGCTGCAGAAGAAAGGAAGAAGTAAGTCAGCACAGGATATTTCTTCCTGTAGCCTGCTCAGAGAAATCCATCCTAACTGGCTTAGGATGAATGATAATGGGGTGGAGCAAAGCAAAGATGAAGAGGGAGGAACAGGAAAATTTTCTCAATCTTCAGCCTCTCCTTTTTGAAACCAACTTCAGGTCCTCCATGTACATGGATAGTGCAGAGAAGAGGAAGACTATCTCACTTTTCATAGAGTAATTTGATACATTATGTGACAGATTCTTATTTAAGTATAAACAGGTGGTTTCATGAAGCAGAAAGAAATAACTCCCTCTTTTAAACTAATAGTCCTGCCGTTCACCACAAGGCATGCCAAAATTTAATTTGCCTGGTGTAAATTTACCACATCAACATGAAAATAATTCACTTTTGTTTAAATGCCAGCCATTACGAAGAAGGTCATGTATTTCTTACGGCTATCAATAACATATCTAAAGCAGTTATCAAGTACTCAACTCCTCCTATGTTAATTTTCACTTATATTTTTAAAAGGGACATATTCTTAACCCAAGTATTGCTTCAAAATAATAGCATAATTATGACAAATAGCGTTTTTCATAATAGCAAATTCTTCAAACTGAAAGATGCATATGAGAAACAGACACAATGTAACATAATTGCTTTTGCCATTTTTGCCTACCATTGTTTTGGAAACTTGTTAACTTTGATTCACTCAGCATGGTTTTATATTCCTTATGTTTTTAGTATGCAATCAACCCCTGGAGTAAAACAGATAACAGTTGGGTATGCAGCTGGCTTGGATATTGTTGCCTTTCTTATCACGTGAGCCTCTTGTGGTTCGTATTAGTATTTTTCACTTTTCCCTCTCTTGACCAAAGGCTCCCAAAAGTCATTTTTAGTAGAAGTCCCGTGAAAAAAGTAATAGCAGAGAAGAACAGCTCAAGGAACTTTGCCAATCAAACCCTTTTAATTCCTACATGGGTGACTAGGTGAAAAACAAATGATTTTTTTTCATCTCGGAACAAAAATGTATCTTGCTGTGCTGCAAACTGCTAGGAAATCAACTTGGGGAAGGAATTTGGCAAAATCCCAGGATGCTGGAGAAAGGAAAAGTAAAGTGTATGTGAGGCTTTTTTTCAGGATTACTAATAATTACATCAGCAACAGCAGCAGCAGCAGCATCTACTTTCTACCAATATATATTTTCTCTCTGATATTTATCATTTGGGAGAACAGACGTTTTGACCTAAGACATCTGAAAAAAGGCAAGTTAGGGAAGACTGCTTACCATAGCACCCATTCCTGCAAAATTTGCCCATTAAATCCTGTACTTGTAGAGCTGCAGTGACATCTAGTGCCCACACTGTATAATTACAAACAATGCTACATACAACATAGATCTATATAGTGCTACATACAGTAGATCCGGTGCGTGATAGCTTGCAGTAAAGTGGCAAAGAGAAGACTTGGATTATTGTTCTATGTAAGATGTCACTGGTTTCAGGAAAAAAAACCTGATCAAATCCCCAGCACTCTACTTGATTGACTTCCAAGATGTTTGCAAGAATTGTGACTAGCTGATGCTTCAAACCACTGCAGAGAAGAAAACAGAGATGTTATTTCATGATTGCTGTCTGGAATTAATACATCATGCCTCCTTATATTTTTAAGTTACAATAGTCCACTGAATACATAACTGGATGGGTAAAAATAAGTGAAGATTATGTGTATAAACTAACCTTGAAAATGGAAATATGTGCAGTGCAAACTTACACATTTTTATTCAGAAATAAACCCTGTGTTCATAATTATTTGCTCTATAGTAATTGTTCCTAGTTATCAGCCTAAAGAACTCAAACATTATGGAAAAATATACTGTAGAGTCACTCAGAAAAGTAGTTTAACATCTGTAGTCATTCATTCATCCAATTCCTTACTAATCACCTTATCTTCCCTTTCTCTTTTATTCATTCCAAAGAACCTATCTTGTTCCCCTTTCCAAAAACCTTTTGCAGGGGAGTCTCTCCTCTCATCCATGGAAATAGCCATTTGTTGGAAAGATCTTTTATCAGATTACAGTTTCCTCGCTACTGACAGGATAAGGGAAAAGGTAATTTGTGCCTGCAAAAAGTGTTTGTGTGGGTAGGGAGGAAATAAAGCTTCTTTTCCATCCAACATGTCTGACAAAGATTACAATTTCCTGCTGGAAAGTAGTGACCTGCTTAGCTTACAATCAATTCAACTCTTGTCTCCCAGCAATGGAAGCAATCTTCTCTTCCTTGAAACAGAAAAAAAACAAAGATGAGCTTGATTTAAATCTGGTAAACACAGGAAATCCACTTTTCTTATTTGCTGCCTCCTAATGATGGGTATTTCTTCACTGCCCAGGTATAAAATAACAACCAAGAAACCTTCTTGAGCCATAGATGGCATCCAAGAGCAAGAGATAGTTACAAAAGAGATTTCTTAGTAATTGCTTAAAAACTTTTTTTTAACTTTCGCCCTTTTAAAATGTGTGTGTGTGTGTGTGTTTTCTGAGGTTTTCGCGGGTGTTTGTATGTAGGTCTTTGATTATTCGGGTTTTTTCCTGCGTAAAATTGGAAGTGTCTTGGCACTTCCAATTTTACGCGGGAGAAAACCCGAATAACCAAAGACATATATATATATATATATATATATATATATATATATATATATATATATATATATATATATATATATACATACATACATACATACATACATACATACATACATACATACATATATATATATAACCAACCAAATAAATGTGAGCACCAGGGAGTGCTAAAAAATTTAATAAAATTTGGTAAAATGTCAATAAAATTACAATAAAACCAATAAAACGCCTAGCTTTCGTCAGCAACTGCTGACATCATCAGGGCTCAAAATGCCGGTCAGTGGGAGAGTCCTCTTTATAGATTGGCCAGAGTCTGCACCCGGCTCCTAGATCTTGTCATTGGGCCTGCTGGAATAGGCTGTTTCCCGGTTGCCGGTTTGAGGAGGAAACCCACCATTGATTCCTTGGAGTGCCGGCAAGCAGTTCAACAATTTCAACACCGTACCATGCGTGCGCTCATCAATGATCAACATAGGCGCATAGACAGCTTGAAAGCATGGGTACAGGATTACCGAGAACAATGCGAGATGGAACTGACCAGCCAGCATTTCCAAGCACTGAACCGGCACATCCAGATAGCTGCCGAAAAAACAAGCCAGCATATGACGGGAGTATTCCAACGCAGAATTAACAACTTGCGAGAGTGGAGTAGTAACAACTTTCCCGACAGGCTGGTATGTAATTTGTCAACTAAGACACTGACTCAACCGCAGCTCGCTCTATTACAATGAGATGTGGGCTATAACCTTAGGGATGCCAAAGCACTTGATTTTGTAGCAGCATTGGAGCCCGCCATATTTCGTATTGGAGTGGGGGAAGAGACCAAAAATTCCCTAAAACAGCAAGTCACGGGGCTCCTGATGGGCCATAGGGGCTACCAAACGTTGTCTAAAAAAGAAATGGAGGCCTTAGAACAACTTAAAAGAGACGATTCCATTGTTATTCTCCCAGCAGATAAGGGGAGGGCAACAGTTGTCATGGATAAGGCGATATACACGAACAAAGCACTAGATTTGCTCAATGATAGAGCGGCGTACAGAGTGGTTGATAAAGATCCTATGGTTGCACTTAGGAACCATACTAATAAACTTCTTGATGACATAAAACGGGGTAAGAGAATGAGTGAGGACGTTCTGAGAAAGGTACACCCTAGTGACTCAGCACTAGCCAGATTTTATGGGCTGCCTAAGATTCATAAGGCAAACATCCCACTCCGCCCCATTGTCGCATTTAGGGGCATCCCTACCTCAGAATTGGCCAAGTGGCTGAGCAATCGCATCAGCCACCTGGCCGATGATAACACCAACACCGTGAGATCGGCGGAGGAGTTCCTGGGTAGGATAAAAACCCTGAGGGTGGAGGAGGATGAGTTAATGGTGTCCTTTGACATCATTTCACTCTTCACCTCCATCCCACAGGACCTTGCGGTCACAGTATTAAGGGACTGCCTGAACCAAAGGAGTTCGGAACAGCAGCAGGACTCCCTCCAAACTGAAGACTTCATAAAATTAGTGAAGGTATGCCTGAAGACATATTTTACTTTTCAGGGTACCATATATGAGCAAACTAAAGGTACACCTATGGGGTCTCCGATCTCCAGTGTGATTGCTGAGGTAGTACTCCAACAGTTGGAGCACATAGCGATGGCCCAATATCAACCTAAATTTTGGGCCCGCTATGTGGACAATACTTTTACTGTCATCAAGAAGCATCAAAAAACTAACTTTATGGGCATACTGAATTCGGTATACCCAGACATTCAATTCATGATGGAGGAAGAAAATCAGGGTTCACTGGCATTTCTGGACGTATTGGTCCATCGACAGCCAGATGGAACTCTTGACACCAGGATATACCAAAAACCAACGTGCACGGACAGAATCCTCCATCACAAGAGTAATCATCCAGTGGCCCATAAAGTTAGTTGTATTAGAGCCCTGTTTAAACAGGTGGAGTCCCACTGTAGTACTGCCAGAGCAAAAATAGAGGAAAGAAACCATCTCTTTCATATATGCAAACATAATGGATATCCAACAAGGTTCATTAGGCGCTATAGTGTGCCACCTGAACCTCGAAGGGATCCATGTACAAATGAACCTACACCACAGACGATGTTGGTTACCCTCCCCTATATCTGCAACATCTCTGAGGCAACTGCTAGATTACTAGCACCATACAATGTTAAGGTAGCCCATAGACCCAATCAGACGCTACGTGCCGCAATCATGCACCCCAAGGATCCACTCCCCACCATGGATAAGTCAGCAGTCATCTACAGAATTGACTGTGAGGACTGCCCCAGGAACTATGTTGGGGAGACCGCCAAGAGAGTAAGAACCAGGGTCCATGAACATAAATTAGCGGTAAAGAGGGGCGAACAATACTCTCAGATTGCGACACATATGACTGAATCAGGCCACCGATTTGACTTTGAAAACGTACGTGTCTTGGCCAGTGATAATATGAAAGGGGGCCGCTTGCTTAAAGAGGCATGGCTATCCAATAAGGACTCAATTAATCGATATTTGCCCAGCCCACTTAACGTTGAGAGCTTGGAGCATGGGCAATCCCCCACCCCACTGGAGACAGCCTAAGGAAATACCGAATATATCAACGGAGAGGATTGTAGAGAAGACTTCCCCCTCTCACCATCCACAGCCCGGGAGTACTCAGACGGAACACAAACAATGATTGAGACCTCCCCCCCCAGAACGGTCAGACATCTCCAAGCATCTAAAGGAGGGTCGAGAGATGCAGGAGCACTAACGTGTGGACTAGGGGCTTGCACACACCCCCCGGGATATCCAGAGGGGAGAGCGCCGCCTGATAAGAGATCCATATTTAAAATACCTTTGGCGGGGGCATTGAATTGCCTGCCATATTTGGGAAGAGAAAGGGCAGCTTCTCCAGCCCCACTGCCTGTAACAACTCGACCACCCCGTTCAGCAGTACCAACCCAAATGTGCCAACGGGAGGTGTGGAGTGACCCCGATGAGGATGCACATGGGAGGAACACCGAGAGTGGAGGGGAGATAGTGGTGAAGACTGATGCTCCTGATTGCCGTACAGAGAACATCCAGGGCGAGTTGGTTAAAACTAGGATGGAATGTATAAAGATCGGAGATAAAGAAAGGAGACGCCTGGGGGCA